GCCCCCCCTCTGCCTCGGACACAGAGCCCTCATCAGAGCCTTCCACAGACTCCAGGACTGGCCCATGTTCCTCCCCAACCTCCCCACTATCTGACTTTGCTGCCAGCTCTGTTGGCCGCTGGCAGGCCACAACAATACCCTTTGAGAGTGGGTGGGCCAGACAGAGAAAACCATAACTCATGCAGAGACATACTCGCACCTTCCTTTTACAGTTTGGCTGTAAATTGGCCTTAAGAGTCGGGACACAGGAAATCCTCACACTACAACAATTCATTGAGCAGCCCTTTGAAGCTACAATGGCTCTGACAAAATTGATTCCCCCACCGGTCCTCGTAGTTACGCCTGTCACAGCATCCCCTCTGTCATGTGATCAAAAGTTTGGCACATGTATTTATGACAGTTGGGAGTGGTGCCGTGGCCTAGAGGTGGAGCTCTCGCCTCACAATCAGAAGGCTGTGAGTTTGATCCTAGGTAAAGGCAGATATTTCTCTCTCTGGGCACAATGAGAATATATCTGCTGAACAAAACTCCGCACTGGCGACCTGGAAGGGCATCGGGCCAGTAAACACTCAGCTCCATTCAGTTGCCCAGACTCTACCCTGCAAGGGATTATGGGGTCGTTAAAAGAAGATAATGTATTTACAACAGTTGCAGCTTGCTGGGGTGTGTGTGTCATGGGACCTTCCCAGCCAGCTGCCCTCAAGCAAAGACAAGAGGGGAAGCCAGATCCACTTAATGACCGTGTGGTTCACTGAATGGCAGCGATTCACTTGAAAACCCCATAACAAGACTGTAAAACTGGCCACGACTCACTTAACGACTGTCTTGTTTAACCATGGAAATGGTCCTAAGTCGAGGACTTCCTGCAGATCCCTTGCCAATGGGGGGGGGCAAGCAACTCTTGTTTTGACGCCCTGCGGGGCAAGACCCCAAACTCCTACCTCTAATATTATTTAAGATGCCCGAAGCGTTGAGAGAGGAAGGGCTCCGGGTGAGGACGTCGCCTTCTCCCGCCACGGTGCCGCTCCGCTGCTCCGTCCTCCGACACTCCTCCGGCAGAATCAGGGGCTCCGCGGGATCGTCAGCCTGCGGCGTCAGCAGCTTTGGCGGCCAGCAGCTCGGGTCTCGCGGCATGAGGAAGGCACTTGGGTCAAAGCTCTCCCGAGGAAACTTGACGATTTTTTGGGATTTTATCCAGCGGCCGTTGACAAACTGGAAGCGCTTCAAGTGGATGATCTGGAGCGAGACAAGCAAGAGGGGAGTAGGGTGAGGGCTCCTTTGTTCAAATGCCTTCCGTTTAAAGCAGAGGGGGTCCGCCTTTGGCAACTGTAAGCCTGGTGGACTTCAATTCCCAGAATTCCCCAGCCAGCCAGCATGGCTGGCATCTAGAGGCATCCAACTTTTATGACTGTAATGGGCAGCCTTTAGTATAGACATAAATGAGGGCTACCTGCATGTCTATCTGGGTGAGGGAGGGAGGAAGGGAAAGGGAAGGAAGTGGGAAGGGAAGAAGGAAAGGAAAGAATGGGATGGGATGGGATAGAATTCTTTATTTGCCAAGTGTGATTGGACACACAAGGAATTTGTCTTTGGTACAGATGCTCTCAGTGTACATAAGGAGAATAAAATATATTAATCAGGAATAAAAGAATAGAATAGAATAGAATAGAATAGAATAGAATTCTTTATTTGCCAAGTGTGATTGGACA